CAACTTGAGATGGCCTAAATACTCTCCAAGTACTTCACCAGCAGGAATGGCAGCGTAGGCTGTGACGCCTCTGATACCAGTACGCACATTGCGACTGATCTGAAGAACTGGGCTCTCCTCGAGAGAGTTACCGCAATCTCCTCTGAAGGTGCAATTCTCGAGGTTGCAGAAGCGACTGCATGCCGCGTTCAGGCAAGTCGAAGCTCTGCATCGAGTGTAACATCCGCAACCTTCTCAATTTCTGCGGCCGCTACTCACACGAGGAAACTTGATTCCGTCAGGATTGTACTGGGCAATCAGCACCATCACCTCCACTGGCCAGAATTCGCGTCTCCACTCACTTCTAGCGGACTGAAGGGAGGTATCCCCAAGGAGAACAAAGCCCGGAGAGCTGGCTACCGACACAGCCGAAGCTGAGTCTTGACTGGACCCTTGAGCGGACTGTCGAGGCGGGGTGGAGATATCATCGATGTCTTTCGAGTCGTAGCCGTCCGATTCGAAGCATTCGCCGAACCACTCATCGACTCGACGACTCCCATTGTACCGATAACGGTGAGGTGCGATTTCAATAACGCGACATGGACGACGTGGAGACTGACCGACAACAGCTTCTGGTGGCGGAGTTCGAGCTCCTGGTGAAGGAACGCCCGGAGGTAGAGTACCCGTACTCGAATAAGAGCGTGCCGGCGAAAAAGTGTCCCAATTCTCAGATTCTGTGACTTGGCTAGAGGCCGCGGTGTCAGCGAAGGTCGATGTCTCGGATAGCTGGAAGTCTGACAACGGCAGGCTAACAATCGACGCTTGAGGAGAGACCTGCGGGTGCGAGAAGACTCGCACGGATCCTCGGCCAGATCGAAGCCATGAATGCGATTGTCCGGGCATCGAATCGTTTGGTGTCGGCGCACGGTACGAAGGCGAGCCCAGCGGCGAGGCCCTACTGCTTGTATCAGGAGAGCGCACATTCACAAGAGCGGGTCGAGAAATCATGCAGGACCTATCGGCATTGGAATCATCCTCATGAAGGCTTCTTGGCTTTTGCGAAACCTTACTAGCTTCCAGAGACGCAGTTGAATGATCTGCCTTCCCCTCGCCGAGTGCAGCCCCCTCGAGAGCTCCAAGAGATGCAGTTGAGGGCTTACGTTTCTTCACGTCGAGAGTAACAGCGGCGGCGGAACCCACCACATCCTCGAGAGCGGAGAAGAGTCTCTTACAGCCAGCGTAGATCTTGCAAAATCACAACATCTTTGTTAGGAGCGTCAACTATATATCACTCGTGTACATTCGATATCTAACGAACCTTCATCACAGGCGAAGCAACTCCGAGGATAAATGGTACAGTTCTGAGGATATAATTATGTGTATAGTGAGCTTTTTTCATGATAAGCTGGGTTCACTGCTGAGTTTTATTTCGACACATCCATACAGTTGGTTTCTTTT